GGCAAGCAAAGAAAGGGTTGGTTGGACCCTCGAAGGAGTTGTGACCCACAGGTTGAGAACAGCTGGGTTACAGCTGTTATACAGAACTCTTAACAAAGACGAGGACTGATCATCTATCAGGTTCTCCATACTTCTGGGAGGCACTGGGTTGTCTTTATTCCTCTCCATTGGTAGAAAGGAGCACTTGAGAATTATTGGTGTTTATTGGTGTCTATGGAATGAAAATCTACTCAAGATGAAATATCAAATATGCATGTGCTTTGAAAAGTTCAATCCACAAATACTGCTGTTGTGGCTGTTATTTTCAGTGTTTTAAATAATAATACAACAAGCCCTTTAACCATGGAAGAGGCAAAGATACCTTACAAACTGTCAACTCTTTCTGCCTCTGCTGGCTCTTTCTGTGTCTGCTGGCACACCTTAGTGATTTGGTGAGGGCTCTGGTGCTTAAAATAGAATTGCTGACAGCTGACATGGGTCGTAATCCATCACTTCAACTGACCCATTGCAGCTATATGTCAGGGGACGTGGGTTTAGCTGACTCATCTTGGCTGTGAGGATGAGTTGGGATGCTGCCACTTGCTGTAGAGAGCATTCTGGATGGTTCTGCACTATTGTTTTTCTGTTTCATGTAAAGTAAAAGGATTGTAGGATTAGGGGGAGAAAAGCAGTCCTTTCTCAAAGAGTCTCAGTAGGAATTTGAAGGGTGTGGAAAAGAAGAAACAGAAAATCAGAAAGGGGGTTAGTTTCAGCTCTGAGTAGACTTTATAGGAAAGAGAACTAATGGCCAGTTCTGGCTGAAGAGGAAGTATTTCTTCAGGCACCTGGGCTGACCATCAGATTGCAGCGTTGACTTTTAGAATTGCTTTGGGGTAAACAGATGGAACAAGATGCCTTGCAGTAGGTTATTTGTGTGGTGGGCATTTGTAACCTACAGTGGTAACCAGGAGGATGAAATACAGGGCACGGTGTTCCAAATGGGTACCCTCAAAAATATTAATCTATGAATATCAAAAGCTAATTTGGACATAAACAGAATTCTAGAATTGTAGGAAGACTAAATAATGCTTAAAAAAATAACAAAACAAAAAACTTGAAACCCTTTACTCTGTGTCTTTCTTTCTTTTTTCTTTTTTTGAGACATAGTAACCCTGGCTAGCCTGGAATTCTATGTCGACCAGGCTGGTCTCGAACATCAGAGCTCTGCCTGCCTCTGCCTCTGCCTCCCAAAGTGCTAGGATTAATGTGTGCCAGTAAGCAAGGCTATTGTGTTTTGTTTATTCTGTGATTAAAGATAGAACAAAATGCATTTACATTTTAATTTGGGAGTTTTTGTTAATTTTCATTGAAGTCTTTTTAGCTAGTAACTTTTATCATATGCCTTCAGTCTAAAAAAGTAATCCATGTTACAGTTCTTAACATTTTTCTCAGTATTTGGCCTGATCTTATTTCTATTAATCACCTTTAGTTTTAAGTAAATGAATTTTAGTTTTTAATTTAGATCCATATTTAGTATTTTATTCTTTGTTGATAGTAAAAATAACTAAATTGATTTGGTATCATATATTTAATGAAGTTTAATCTGAGAATTTTGAATTCTTTAAACAGCTATCTAATATTTAAATATATTAACTAATTTACTAATATTAAGTTTACTCTTAACTATTTAAAGTTAATTTCTGTAGAAGTAAGCTTTCAAAGCAATAACAGGAAATAAGAAAAAGGCCTAGGCTATAAGAAGTTTGCCATATTATGGCCAGTTGCTCACTCACACTGCTTAATGTAGGGCAGTATGTGAATATTAGTAGATGTTATATTTTAAAATGCATAGAAATTCTTTTGGATATGCTATGTTTATGCAATGTTGAATAGATTTCTTGCCTGTAGTCTTCCTTGGAGTATTTCATTAAGTACATCAATTAAAGGCCTGAAACTCCAAGGAAAAGATAATCTACAGCTTTTCTCAATAGCAGTTGTCTGACATAGCAACCCTGAGGACTTGCATTCTGTAGAAGATACAGAGACCTCAGAAGGGAGAGTTTATGCTTTCACCACTAACTATGGGTTTTATTAGTGTGTTGCATTCCTTCAAAGTTACTCTGTGGCATCAATAAACGCTTATACCAGCAAGCTTTGTGTAAAACAGGTTAATGATTCAGAAGATAAGAATTTAGACGACACATAGTTCAGCCAAACATAGATTTCATGGTCCTCGGGGGAGCCTTCATAGGAATGCATAATTCAAAAGAGAAACTAAAAGAAAACAAATTTTGTATTTTTCTCTCATAAGTGCTTTTTGTAGCATTGCCACTTGCAGGGAAGCCTGGGCTTGTGGGGGGGGGGTGTTTCAGAGAGATCAGCCATTGTGAGAGGGAGGGTCTTATTAGTTCACTGCCATATCACACCGCTGAGCTGAGAGTGAGCTGCTGCTGGTCTGTGTCAACATTCTAGTTCTGCAGAGGCGCCCACTCTGAACAGCTGTTTTTCTGGCAGCAGCTGGGAAGTGTAGGTTTCATGAATAGGGTTGATCAGCACCATGTGGTAAGCCTTCTTCCTGTGTTTTCACCTAAGCTGTAATGCCAAGAATAGAGCAGAGAAATGGGGTTGTGTGAGAGATGATGAAGTAGGGGGTGGAGCAAGTAGTGGGGGAAGGAAGGTCATCGATGATGAGAGCTGTCTCATCAGGAAGGTTCCAGCTCTTCTGCAGTGTTCCTTTGAACAACCATAGTATACAGCTATTATAAAGCTGCAATATGTTCCCTGTAATTTTTATGAAAGGAAACCAGATGTGGAAATTATTTTCATTTTGAAACAAAGTGGTGTGTTACCAGTTGGATGCAAGAGTGCACAACTATAGTCTTAGCTAGATGGGAGGTTGAGGCTGGAGGACTGTTTGAGCCCAGGAGTTCTTGAGACCAGCCTAACAACACATTGAGACTGCAGCAGAATCACAGAGAGGGTTGGGGGGTTAGTGACCTTGACCGAAGTCAGCTAACAGCACGTGAGTCCTTAAGCTGCCCTAGCAGCTTTGTTAGAAATCAGGCTAGAAAAAGGGTTCTGTGCTGAAAGTGCATCCTTTTCCTTAATTGGTAACCCTACAATCTTTATCCCTCCAATATTCTGAAATCATTGTGTTTATAATTAAAAATTAGTGTGTGCCCTCATGAAGGTATGATTCTACCTTTGTGGAAAATCTGAAGGAAGCAGTCATTTAGCCAAGCTGACCATATCTTACAGGAATGACGCAGGGCTTTCTTTTGTGTGTAGTATAGGTGGATCAAGTTCTGGAATGCTAACAGAATGGCTAACAGGTCCACGTTTTCAGAGCCTAAGGAAGACTTGAAATTTTTGTGGCTTCTTGCTTTCTAGTGAGAGGAACAGTATAATAAAAGGCAAAACAAAACAAAAAAACCTTAGGCTGGGATAAACTTAGTAGCGATTTGGACTGTGTGTATTTTTTTTTCCAAGGGGCAGCACCAGTTTTAGAGGACCTGGAGGCAGACAAAAGCAGAATTGGCAATGTGGGAGTGTCAGGCATGCTGAGCCAAGCCACAGAGACCAGAAATGATTTCTATGAGTTCAAAAATGTGAAAATGCACCTGTTTTGTGTCCTGTCTTAACCTGGGATGGACAGGGGATAGACATTTGTTCCTTAAAGACAGACACCAAGTGACTTTTCCAGCCAATCCCCAGTGGCCACCCACTTGCTATGGGGACATTGTCACCCTTGCCTTTCAGGGTAGAAAGGGCAGCCTTGCTTTTGCTTTGTTTTCAACTGTTCTTTGTAATCCCGTTGTGATTAAAAGGAATTTGTTTTAAGGGTAAGCTCATAAGATAATTCATTTCTTAATGTATGATAAAATAGTATAAACTATGGGCAGAAAGTTAAGAATCCAAATAAAAAGAAGTAATGTGGGCAGGCAGTGAGGTGGCTAGTAGGTAAAGATGGTAGCTGCCTGGGAATGAAGAATGTAGGCCTAATGACCTGAGTTGTATTCTCAGAACCCACATAAAGGTGGAAGGAGAGAACTAACTCCAAAAAATCATTCTCTGACCTCTACACTCATTTGGCATGCATCCATATGCATACATCACACACACAAACGTGCACACTCTAGTGAGAAAATTTTTAAGAAATGTAGAAAAGGAAATAAGTTCTAATGGTTTCTTTTTATATTCTTTAAACTTTTATGGGCTGCTGAGATGGTGATTGCCACCACGCCCACTGACCTTACTTAGTTCAAGTCCTAGAACTGACATAGTAAAAGAAAGAGAGAGAGAAGACACTCCTACAACAAGCAACAGCTCTCTTCCCTCTGCCCTTCCCATCTCTATCTCTCTCTTCATGTGTCTGTCTTTCTCTCTCACTCCCTCTCTCTATGTCTCTCTCTCTCTCACACACACACACATGCACACACATACATTAAATTCGACTTTATTTAATCAACCTTGTGTAAAAAAGTCAGTTTAATAATTAAATTAGATGCTATTCTCTAAGTTTCAGTATTTGATACCTCTGAAATTGTTGGCTGACTTGAGTGTTCATCTGTGTTGTGTCATGTCATGTGAAAGGTAAATATTTTAACTTGGGGTGGTGGTGAGAATTAAAAATCCAGGCAAATAGGTAATCCTTAGAAAATCTTCCTAATATTTCTGTTCCCTCTAGATGGATTCATTATAGAAAAACTGAATGGTGTACTGTGCAGGTTTTCAACAGTCTGTGATGTGTTCAAATGAACTGTATTGAAATCCCAGAGTGTGCTGAAGATTGCCTTTAATGACACAGGTGGTTTGTGCAGGGCTCATGATAAGTGTCTAGAGTGTTGACTGGCTTCCCCAGGACTGAAAGGCACTTCATGCAGATTGTATTAAGTAACTCCATTTTGTTTGGGACTTGGATGTTATAAAATGCACAAACACTGGGTTTGTCTTGAGTCATCTTATTCTCATTTGGGGTTGATAGAAATGAAGTAAGGACCAAGTAAACGACTTTTTTTCAGGTGCAAATTCGACCATGGAACCTAAGTGACAGTGACTTTGTAATGGATGGTTCTCAGCCTTTGGACCCCAGAAAAACTATCTTTGTTGGGGGAGTTCCACGACCCCTTCGAGCTGGTGAGTGGAAATAGTAACACCACAACAACAAAAGCAATGACAACAAAATCCCCAATGCGTTAGCTCTGTCTGGGTTTCCAGTCAGCCATTCACAACCTCTAAAAGGAAGCCTGTCATGTCATTTTCACTGAGCTGACATTCTTACGATTAAGAATTTTCCCCAAAATGCTGTATATTCTTGTGATTCAAGAGTCAATTTGATTAAACCATTTTGTGGAAAGGATGAGCTTTATTTAGTTCTTTCCTTTTTACCCACACACTTTAAATAATATTTGGCAGTGTACGTGATCGTGCCAGTTAGTGTTGTTATAGACGTCCGTCACCCTGTCAGAAGTCTGCCCAGCATGTCTGGGTGCCCAGTCAATGAAAAGCTGAGCCACGGCTGGGGATTGTACTTGGGAATCAAGCTGTACCCCTGAGCCTCCATCAGCAAGGCAGGATCTAATTCTTACAATTTCCAAAAGTGAATTATATGTTGAACCATTCCTTCATTATGAGTTTATAGAAGCTCCCATCTTGCAGTGGGTTTTTGCTGTGGTACTGGCAGTTGAACCCAGGACCTCACATACTCGAGATAAGCACTCATCCTCAGCCCACCTTCTGCATTTATTCTGACATAGTCTCACACAGTTGCTGGGCTGGCCTGGGCCTCAGTGAGTAGACCAGGCAGGCCTTGGGATCCTTCTGCCTCAACCTTCCAAGTAGCTGAGATTTCAGGCCTGAAGACCTAGCCCAACCTCTGGTGTTGTTGTTGTTGTTTGTTGTTGTTTTAATTTGTTTCCAAGGATAAAACAGTTATGTTGCCAAGGGTAAGCTGGATTGTAATGAACCAGAGACTTGAAGTGGTATTGAACTGATGTTTCAGTAGTTAAGCCAGAGACAAGCCAGGAGCCATGTGACACATACCTGTAAGCCAAGCATGCTGGAGGCTGGCACAAGATGCTGTTAAATCTGAATCTTGCCTGAGTACTTACTGAGTGAATACAAGACCAGCCTGAATTCTCAAGGATTCCTAACATTATTTGAATTCTAACTCTAGTCTACACATTAAAAACAAAACAAACAAACTTTGGAACTCTACAAAGATATCTTCCTAAATTTGATAGCTCACACCTGTAACTCTAGGACTGAGAGGTTGAAGCAGGACAATTTTGAATTTTGGGCTAACCTACTTAGTGAGCCCCTATCTCAAAAAATAAATGGGATATAATCATAATTCTATTTTGAAGATCTTTAAAAATGTTGTGATTATGGTAATTTTATACTATTTCTAAAAGTCAGAGGTTTCTGGGTCCACTTTTTCTTCTAATGAAAAACTGTCAGAAGAAAGAAAGCAAAACAGTGAGAGTTCTCTTCCTTAGCCTACATCACTTAGTAAAGTCTAGAAGGGCCATGTCATTGGGAACAACTCGAGACTAGAAAAGGTGCAGCCTCTTGGTTCTACATTAGATGAGTGTTTTTAGGAACAGGTGATGTGAGTGGGGGTTCTGTAGAGCACTCACAGCCTCTGTGCTAGGCTAGAAAGGAGAGTCCTCACTGATACTTTTCACTGCACATGGACTTCACAGTTGGATAGTCACTGCTGTACATTGCAAATGGCTACAATGTAATGGAAGTTGTTCTAATCTTTGTCCTTCTCCACTCCTCCTATATGAGACTATTTAAAAGTCTTGAAACTGGATATAGTGGCTCACACCTATAATCCTAGGCATAGGAAGCTGGATCTCTTGAGTTCCAGGCCAGCTTGTCTACATAGTGAGTTCCAGGTCAGGCAGAACGACACAGTAAGACCCTATCTAGGAAAAAAAAAAAAAAAAGTCCCATAAGCATGAAATAATACAGCTGGATTTTAAGTCATCAGGTCTATGTTCTCATGTCACAGGAGCTGCAGTTTATACGCTGTCTTGTACCAGGTGCTCAGCACGGGCAAGATGCTGCAAGTCCTAGAAGGTGGGAGGACCAGGAGTTCAGTGTTGTCTTAGCTGCATAGTGAGCTCAGGCAAGCGCACGTTACATAAGATCCTGTCTCAAAATGCCAAAAATGAAAATAAGTATTTTAAAAGAATTATATTCAGCTCTCTAAATCAGAAATAAGATTTGTGTTCTTTGCCTAGAGAATACACCTAATAAATCTTGAATTTCTTCTTTTCTTTCTCTCTCTCTCTCTCTCTCTCTCTCTCTCTCTCTTTTAAGAGATAGGGTTTCATAGCCCTGGCTATCCTGAAACTTGCTCTGTAGACCAGGCTGGCCTTGAATGCGCAGAAATTCACCTGCTTTTGCCTCCCAGAGTGCTGCGCCTATGGGAGCAGGCCTGTGCCACCATGCCTGACCCAAATACTCAAGTCTCAAAAAAAAAAAAAAAAAAAAAAAAATTTTTTAATTTTTATGTGTAAGAGTGCTCTATCTGAATGCACACCTATATGCCAAAAGAGGACATCAGATCACATTATAGATGGTTGTGAGCCACCATGTGATTGCTGGGAACTGAACTCAGGATCTCTGAAAGAGCAACCAATGCTCCTAACCACCGAGCCATCTGTCCAGCCCCTTTTTTTCCTTTTTGAAGTTAGCTATTTTTGTCTTACAGTTGGTTTGTTTTGGTAGATATGTAGTAAAGACCTATCCGCTGGAAGTGTTAATTCCAGCCCACTTGCCAGCACTTCTAGAGGGTAGCTGGTGGCCAGGAAGTCCACTATTTAATAAATAAGCCAGGGTATGCCATGCTGAACTGAGTGAATATCCCATTATCGTGTTAAACAGAGCATTTTACATAGAAAACCAAAGCCTTCAGAACAGAACACAAGAGTTGTATTGACAGTTGAAGACTGAGTTATATTCTTAACATTCTGAATGATCTTGAAATATTATAGGACAATTTTAAAAGGCTTTTTATTAGTGTGTGACTGCAGGAGTTTATGTGCAACACATGTATGTAAGTACCTGTGGAAGCCAGAGGGCTTTGGATTCCCAGAACTGGAATTACAGGTGATTGTGAGCCATATGATCTAGGTGCTGGGAAGGCGACCCTGGGTCTTCTGTAAAAGCAATAAATGCTCTTGACTACTGAGCCATCTCTCCAGCCTAAGACTGGCTTTCTTTATAAAGTATTTCAGGGCATATTCTTCCCTGGTCCTCACTCAATAGCTAAGGCTTTGGGTATTGGGATAAATTTCACTTGTCCCTTGGCCAGAGATTGTCCTTTAGATATTTTGAGATTTTTGTTTGCTTTACTTTTGATATTGTAACACAGCGACTATGATCAGTAATAGTTATTCTAAATGTAGCCCTTATCCATCCTAATAGAAATGCCTCTAAAGAAGCAAGAAGCCCTGACCAGGCTTAGGGTATCCATTGAACTAGGTAGTCTTACTCTTTGACAAAGCTTTTTGTTTTTATTTTTTGAGACAGGGTCTCACTATGGTGACTGTAGGTCATCAAACTCATAAACCTCCTGCCAGACAGGAAGCACCATACCCAGATCAAACCTTCCTTTTTAAAATTCAGGTTGGTAGGGGAAATCACAGGCCTGGAGAAATTAACCTAAGAATGAGGAAATCCAATGAAAATTGTATCTGGATGAGTTTTCTCATCCCTCAATTGTGGGCCAAGGTTGAATAGTGCACATTGCTGTCATATCTTATCCCTTTCTATTGTTCCTATGAATAACAGCAGCAAGTTAAGAACAATTTCCCCCAAATCTGATGTTTCTTAGGTCTGGATGTCTCCCTTCTTTTAACCCATTCCCTTTTAGGGAAAAACAAAATGGGTAGGGGGTGGGGTAGGGGGGAGCTGTAAGAAGGCTCACCCTGCCCCCATGTGGCTAAAGTCTGCACATTCTTTAGAGAGTCAACAAAAGAACTAGACGGTTTGTCTGCTTTTCTGCTGGTTACAGAGACAGCAGCATGCTGACCTTTGACCAAATGATAGGACCAACATATTTTCCTGAATGTTCATACAGGAAAAGCCCTATGACATTAAGCCTTCTCCAAGATGTACAGCCCTTCACTCTGACAGTAAGTCAGTGTCAGGCTGGGGGCTATGAAGGCACCAAAGTGGAGATTGAAACGTCTTGTCCCAAGTGATCTCTTGTCCTTAGTGATACTTCATTTGCATGTTTTTCTGTCACCCCATCTTCTTCATTTAGGTGTCTGATTTGTGGACCGCCTAAGTGGCTACACTTTGGAATTTCTTCTAACTAACGTAATAGGCCTTAGAACTGTGTTCTTCACCTGATGACTTCCTTCTGATGCTTGTTCATACTTGCCCCTGCAGGCAGTTTCGTCTAAGAGACTGGTGTCTTGAGCTCTTGGAGCCTATCATTGCTTCTCTGCTATTGGGTCTTTGGTCTTTCTTAACTATTGCTCTGATAATTCTTTTCTCTCCTTTCTTTTTCACCCTGTTAACAGTCCATGGCAGATCCTGGAGTTTCCTTCTCTGCCTTTTCCCAACCCCATTGCTCTGTAATGGCTTTTATGTCCAGGTAAAAACTCATTATGGTGTAAATAATTGAATCCATGGCTCCATGATGCTAGGCAAGTTCTTTACCACTGGACTACAGTTCCAGCCCTGAGAGGTAAAGACTTCTGAATGGTCTATGTAATATGGAAAGAATATATATTTCAGTATTTGTCAGGATCATTTATTTCAGACTTTTTTTATACAAACATTCTGGTAGTTTACATGAGCTAGGGATTACATTCTGATTTTTGAGTATGGAATGGTGTTGTAAATATATCCTTTTCTGTTCTTTGAGGTAGTCGATGGCCAGAATCACTGTGTGTCAAATTTCTCAGCAGTAGACACTTTCTCACCCAGTCCCACGTTCAGTCTGAAGTGACCCAAATAAATTCCAGGTTTGACATGCTTTTAGGACTAGGGAATTTAATGCTGGTATATGTTCCTCCCCCTCCTCCCAAACAAACCTTTTCCCACAGTTGCTGTCAAACATTGCCATATCCATGACAGACTGAGCCAGCATAAGGCCAAAGTTAGACTGGGAT